CCTTGCGCAGGAAAACGACCATGGATATTCTCCACCCGCTGCATTTCGCGTCGAAACCGTTCTCGAGTGCAGAACGGAAGTATCACATCACAGATCAAGAGGCTTTAGCTGTCATAAATGCCCTAAAAAAGTTTCATTACTTGTATATGGAGTGAAAACAATGGTTCGGACGGACCATGCGCCATCGAAGACACTATTTAAACGCGCGAATGTGTCGCCCCGCATACTACGCTGGGCGCTTGAGATTCAAAGGTATGATGTGATAATTGAATATATCAAAGGAGCAGCTAATGCAGTCGCAGACGCATTATCTCGAGGCATTGTTAAAACATCCACAACATGGCCTACCCATACAGAGGACGAAAGAGTTGTTTCAAAAATAACTGAGTCAGAGTGGCTCGAAGAGCTTCGCTGTGATAAGGACTTTAACATGGTGATAGAAGCTGTGGAGGCGAACGCCAAGTAGAAATACGATTTCCAAGGTACGATAAGACGTTATGCTCGGCTGATTTTGTCATTGCTGATGGAAGACTAAAGCTTATCGGACCTGATGAACGTTTGAGGGATGTTGTACCCAACTCCAAGAAGTCATGATTTGTTCATGGAAGCACATCATGGAACAATGGCAGGTCATTTTGGTGCACGGAAGGTGTTCCAACAGTTGAGAAAACATGTCTTTTGGCCCGGAATGCGCCAAGACATTGTAAAGTGGACCCGCGAATGCCAGCGGTGCTTCATTTCAAACAATACCACAGGTCAGGTGCCACCACTGAAACCAATAGTGACCACAAAGCCATTTGAAATAGTGGGAGTTGATTTACTTGGAGATAGGACTCACAAGTAGAGGCAATCGTTACATAGTGACAATTATTGATCACTTCACGAAGTATTTAGGCGCATATCCCGTACCTGACAAACGGGCTGAAACCATCGCAGAGGTAATTTTTAGCCAGTGGATCTGCGGTGCAGGTAGATGGCCAGAGGCTATATTGTCAGATCGTGGCACCGAATTTGAAAATACCGTTGTGTCTGCATTGTGCGGGATTATGGGCATAAAACACTTGTTTTCGAAAGGGTATTGCCCTCGTGAAAACGGTCTAACTGAGCGTGAAGCCTAAGGCACTAAGCCTGAGCTGCTAAGCCTAAGCCACCAAGCCTGAGCTGCTATGGCTAAGGCACTAAGACTGCAGCTGCTAAGCCTAAGCTACTAAGCCGAAGCCACTAAGCCTAAGCTACTAAGCCTGAGCTGCTAAGCCTAAGCTACTAAGCCAAAGCCACTAAGCCTGAGCCACTGAGCCTGAGCTGCTAAGGCTAAGGCTTTAAGCGTAAGCCACTAAGCCTAAGGCACTAAGCCTGAGCTGCTAAGCCTAAGCCGCTAAGCCGAAGCCACTAAGCCTAAGCTACTGCCTGAGCTGCTAAGCCTAAGCTACTAAGCCAAAGCCACTAAGCCTAAGCCACTAAGCCTGAGCTGCTAAGGCTAAGGCTTTAAGCCTGAGCTGCTAAGGCTAAGGCACTAAGCCTGAGCTGCTAAGGCTAAGGCACTAAGCCTAAGCCACTAAGCCTAAGCCACTAAGCCTGAGCTGCTAAGCCTAAGCCACTAAGCCTAAGCCACTAAGCCTAAGCCACTAAGCCTGAGCTGCTAAGCCTAAGCCACTAAGCCTAAGCCACTAAGCCTAAGCCACTAAGCCTGAGCTACTAAGCCTAAGCCACTAAGCCTAAGCCACTAAGCCTAAGCCACTAAGCCTGAGCCACTAAGCCTAAGCCACTAAGCCTGAGCTGCTAAGCCTAAGCTACTAAGCCTAAGCCACTAAGCCTAAGCCACTAAGCCTGAGCTGCTAAGGCTAAGGCCACTAAGCCTGAGCTGCTAAGGCTAAGGCACTAAGCCTAAGCCACTAAGCCTAAGCCACTAAGCCTGAGCTGCTAAGCCTAAGCCACTAAGCCTAAGCCACTAAGCCTAAGCCACTAAGCCTGAGCCACTAAGCCTAAGCCACTAAGCCTAAGCCACTAAGCCTAAGC